ATATCTGGAATCTGAGGGTGCAAAAAAATCTAAATATTGAGAAAATCGCCTTTAAAGTTGTCCAAATGAAGTTCTTAGCAATGCATATTACTACGAAAAAATTAAGTTTTAATATATTTACAGTAGGAAATGTACAAAATATCTTCATGGAACATGATCTTTACTAAATATCCTAATGATTTTTGGCATAAAAGAAAAATCAATAATTTTGACCCAAGACTGGTTTTGTGCTCCAGGGTCACATAATATAATTTTCTGCGTAAAACACTCATTGACCCTGACAACCTCTTTCAAGTAACAACTGTTTCAAGTAAAGCCTTGTGTAATCTCCCAGTAAAAAGGAGTTTTATTTCTCAAGGATTGGAATTGTTGTTTAATTACGTGTAATTGGGGGGGGGGTGGATTTGCGGACAGTTATCCTGGAAATGAACTTTTAGCCTGTCTTGAGTCTCTGAGTAATCGTATAAAACACTGACACGGCCACATCTCATGTCATACATGAGATCCAGGGGGCAACTAATGGACTATAGATTTTACCTAACCTTCTCGTTGATCAAAAGAAATATTGTCTCAGGCCCTGACAGAAAGGTTATCTTGCAGTGACAGAACTAAAATTCAAATATGGCACTGGCATTGATGAATAGACCATCAGGGACTTACTTATTGCCACTCTTGTTGAAAATAAAAGCAGAGAAGTTAGGAAATGACATAAGGGCAAAATCAGCAAATTACACCAAACTCAACATGATTACCAGCTTCAACCACCCCCATATTGTGATGTCACATCATTATACTATTAACTGAAAACTAAATACAAATAAAAGAGCTAGCTAATCCTTTCAATCAGATACACTGAAAGTAAATATTAACATTAGTTTGGGGAAAATTATGAGAAGATTTTAATGAAACCAGAAGATCTGATTCCTGTATTAAAGGGGTCATATGATGCGATTTCAATTTTTCCTTTCTCTTTGGAGTGTTACAAGCTCTTGGTGCATAAAGAAGATCTGTAAAGTTTCAAAGACTAAAGTCTCAAATCCAAAGAGATATTCTTTATAAAAGGTAAGAGTCAGCCACACCTACCTAAAACGGCTCGTTCTAACACGCCCCAACATACCTACGTCGCTCTGTGGGAAGATTTGCATAACGCCGCCAAAATGTTCACTGTTTCAGAATAATGTTTCCATTGACGTAGTAGGCCAGGCTAAGGTGTTTTTACGATTCTGACTACCTATATGTTTCAGAAGAGTTACAGTAGTTAAAATGCTTTATAAAATATAATTTTTTCCAATACCAAGCTTTTTCCAACTATTAGCGGTGTGGAACAAACAAACGCAACATCGCTGTTTTTAAAGTCGCACTGCATTGCATCGAACAATGCCAAGCGAGCTGAAGTAATTGCATGTTCTCGGTCTCTTGTATACAGTGCTGGAAAGTCCAGTGAATCGGTTCATCTAAAAGGTCCAGTTGAAGGTTCATGTGAAATATGGTTCTTGCTCTGATTCATTCAAATGAATCGGTTGTTCCGAAATGGTCCACTCTCCCATACGTCACTTGGAAAAGTCAGATTCGTTCTTGTGAATTGGTCAGTTCTAACAGTTCTTGTAAATGAACAGATTTCAAAAAGATTCACTGATTCGTGTCATTCCAGGTCATTTTTGTAGTGTTTGTAGCTCATTTCTCCAAATAAAACCTCCATAGCCCACTCACAATGACCATAGAGACACATATAGGCTAACCTCTATGGAAAATGATGTGATTGTCTTCTTTTCGTGGTTTGCATCATAGAAATTCCCTTGAGCAGGATGCAGTCTTTCAATTATGATATAAAAGATTATCTGAGGGATATATAAATGGATGTTGAGGGTGAGGAAATGTTTTAGCACAAAAGTTGTGTCCTTTCATGTGGTGTGTGTGTGTGTGTGTGTGTGTGTTTTATTGAGTTGGAACAACCATATCTGCACTGTACAACATCACTTCATAGAACCTCAAAAAAAAAATCATGTTTTCCCATTTTCTCCCATAATTATGGTTTCTGGGGAGAATGTAAGAAATAGCTGTGGTGTAACTGTACGTGATAACTGGACAAAGTTCAGACACGCATGTTAACATGTTTACGCTGTAGACAGTTGCGTTTTAATTTATTCATTTGACAGATGCTTTTATGCAAATACTTATTTTGCTTTTGTATCGCACTCAGACCTTTATATTAAAATATATATTAAAATATTTATATACTAATTTAATATTAAAATATTAATATTAAAATATGAAATTAAAATATTTTTGAAACACTTTAATTGTATAAACCTATAACTGTAAAAAAAAAAA